GTGTGTGGGCTTACGGCTTTCATAGAGGCTCGCTTATATATCTTATATAACTGAGAGTTACAAAAAGCAGCATACAATTTTAAATAGAAGTATCCACAAACATTACGATTTTAACTTACTTTTAAGTTTACTCATTACATGGAACGGGGCATATTTGTGTAACTTTTCAACCGAAAACAACTAATCACACACCCATTATAAGCAATGAAAATTATTGTGTGTCCCCAACTAAAGATTTGATAAACCCTTGACATTTCCGACACGGGTTACCATTCGGGTTTTCATTCTACACACTCAAAAAAACGACACTCAACTCAAGCAAGCATAAATAATTGCATAACAATTATTTATGTTATGTTCTCAAAACGTAATAAAGGAAAAACTTGAGAGTTTTTATTACAAATTACACGAGTTAACTTCTGTTTTTTAATGTCGGGGGTAAACCCCCCAAAGAAGTGCCAGCACAGCGTGAAGTTCAAAGCCTTGTTGAGTAAGGTGCAGCGGGGAGCTGAAAGACAATCAACCCACGGCTGACCCCAAGCAAAGTCAACACATCAAAGTGACGCGAGGCGAGGTCAAGCGTTAAGTCATAAAAGACAATGTCCGGCAGGGGGGCAAACTCTCTGTGTACCCTCTGCATGATTATCATTGTTGTTGGGCAAGAAAGTATAAGAGAAATGTTAATCATCCGAGCGCTGTCGCCAGTTGCAAACTCATCTCGATGATGACGATGATGATCAAGTCGATGACGGTGTCAACTGTTGCAGTTAATCAACGCAGCAGCCAACTGCCGCAGCATCAGCGACAGCAGCAACAAGTTAAACAACATTGCCACAAAAGTCCATAGCACGGCGTTTGTGAGGCCACTTCAAGGCGACCTGAATAAAAAGTATTTTAGTAACGCGCTAATTACATGCAGTTGTTGTTCTTTGGAAGTACAAGCACAAGTACAACAACAACAACAACAACCACAGCAATGCAGACCTCTAATGAACAATTCCAAAAGCTTAGCTAACGTTTACCTTCCTTTAAAATAAAGTTAACCTAAAGCAAATGCCCAATTTAAATGCCTTGACGCAGTGTGCACGTAGTGAAGAATTGCAATTAATTATTGCTGATTCTAGTTGATATTTAAACCATTTTAAGCTAGCGCGTATTACCCGGCTATGCCCGGACAAAGCTTTTTACGAATAGTGTGGAACACGTCGCAAATGAATTTTCAACAAGAACTTTGCGAATGAGATGGAACCCGACCGGAAAGAAGAAACAACAAAGTTTAATGCATCCGTTTTCCACCAATTTTCCACAGTTGCGGGTGGATTTCTCTAAATGAATTTCTGTGCTTCCCATTAAGGAACTGCATTAAACGATGCTGCATGTTAGCCAATTGGACAGTCAGGACACACAGTTTTACATAAAAAGACAATTCACATCAAGGGTAAACTTTATTTAATGCTTTAGGAGCAAGTTAGATACAATAAATAAACCTCCAGATAACTCTAAGATCGCATTTTAAAAGCGACTTAGCACAAAGAAGAGCTCTTCAAAGGAAACGATGTCATTTTAATTGTTCTTTAGCCAAGTAACAAGCAAACGTGGCTTATAAAGAAAAATATGTATTAGAAAAATTATTTAAAAAAAAAAAGTAAATAAAGCAACCGACAAAGACAAAAGGAACACGACAAACGACAAGGCAGACTAATTGTCAACAAAGCAGCGAAGATCAACACAGATCAGAAAAAAAAGACTAGAATAGTCCCAGGCATTCGGACAGTCCTCAGTGGTTGGCAACCAGTTTGGGATTTGTTGGCCAGGCCCCAACAGCAACCGGCTTTTAATTAATTGCCTTTTTAGGCAAAACTATTTCTTGTTGTACACACACACACACAAACACACGCGCAGAGCAATGTGTGCTCATTTATGCCTGTTACAAGCACATAGAACAACTGTCAGCTACTTGTTAGAGTTTTCAAGTTCAGCGGAATCGAGTGCGTGTGTGGCCCATGTCAACCCACTCGCAACCCTTTCCACCACCACCAGCACCAGAAACACCACAAACTGAGTTGTCGGCCGGGTGTCGCGTCATGTAAATTGTCATCAATATTTCAGCATAAATTGCATAGCTTGTCTTGAGTCTTGCGTCTGGGTCGGCGCTAGCATCCATTCGATGAGTCAGTTATGAGTCACAGGGGGAATGGAGTACGCCCTCTACAGGCGACAAGTTGCAACTATTTCTCGATGCGGGTAACTATTCATGGGCGGGGCCCCAAAGGTTCCAATTTGTGGGTTTGGCGGGGACATCGGCGGGGGGTTTTCGCTCGCATGGAAAACGAAATTTAGGTTATGCGCTAAACATTTTAATTAAGTGGAAAAGTATTACGCCAATTTCGGTCAGTGCTGTTGGTGTGTAGAAATCGCAACAGCCAACAAAATGGAAAGCTCCAACAACAAAAGCGAAACTTTGTGTAATTGAAACTGAGCACGAAGTGGAAGTATTATTATTAAGCATGCAAAGCATAATGAAGTGGAAATATGAAACTTGAGAAAAATATGCACAGACAGACCCAGACAAACGGGCACACTGCAAAAACCGAAGAATGGAATGGATAGAGGAATGAAAGGAACGTCAAGCTTGCGCATGCAATAGGTAAATATGCTAAGGTTTTAAGAAGAACTTATTTGTCATGACATGACTGTGCATTTCCCCTATGATGTAGAATTCTATTTATATGAGGATGAATTTTTAATTTCTTATAATTTTCTAATTTGTTATTCATTTAACTCAAAAAATAAATACCCTGCAATAATAATGAGTCAATAAATGGAAGATGCTTTAGAATGTGGGCAACACAACAGGTAAGTTTGATCAAAATATATATACTAAGACAACAATGTTTTCTATACAAAATTCGAATTAGATCCTTTAATGCGTGACATAATCAGAAAAGTGGCATCTAGTTTATAAAATTGTTGTTCTACTATTTTAGTTATATTTCTGTCATACATCAACGGTAAAACTCAAAGACCTCATCAAAAATGTGAACCACCACCTCTTAAATATGCAAAAAGTATAAAAGAAACGGCACAAAAGCTGCCGAGGAAGCATAATAACAAATGCGGGATAACAGACAGCTGAGTTTGTGCCGCATAAAAAAGGAAGCGGCTGGGAGGACAGAAAGCAAGATGTTCCAGCCGACAAAGACGCAAGCGCATGCGAAAACAATTGAAGCGTGCAAAAAGAGCAGCAACAACAACGATTTGCGACTTGCGAAAGGGGAGCAGAGCAAAAGAAAAAAGCAAAAGTTTTATGGCAAAGAACCCAAACCGAAACCGCACACACACGAAAGAAAGGAAATTCATGTGATGGGAAACGGAAATCAAAAGCTGCTACAATGTTGTTGTTGTTGTTGCTGCTGCAGCAGCTTTGCATATAATTTATGAGCCCAAGGGCAAAGGGGAGACAGAACGACGACGCAAAGATTGAATTTGTTTGGGCGGAAAATGAAAACGCGAAGCAGGCCCTGGGTAGAGCCCCCATCAGTGCTGGGGTATAGGTAATATGGAAAAGAGGTAAAAAACCAAATGTGTATCAAGATATGTTTATTTGCAGAGCGTTGGGGCCCGCGCAGGTGTGAAATGCGATCGGACGACGACGGCAGGCAAATGAGGCCATCACACACACTCACACATTAATAGAAGTAACCCTTTTCGTGAAGTTGCTTGTGACACACGATTTGGCTGTGGTTGTTTTTTTTTTTTGTTGCTTTCATAATTCTCTTCTCACACGACGAAGAAACCAAGAGCGACAAAAAAGGCGATACAGGAAATGTAAAACCAGTCAAGTACACAAAATAACCGCAACAAAAGCTCGAGAATCTGTCGCCTCTCTAGTCGCAGATGCTTTGTTGGTTACAGTTATGAGTAGACAGGGACCAAAACTAATATGAGGGAGGGAGAAAGAGAGAGAGAGAAAGAACGTCAGGTATAGGTGCGAGGGGTGCCCATTCATGAGCATGCGGCGACGTTGACCTTTTTTTGATATTGGCGCACACATTAATCGATGTGAAGAAACTTTGTTGTTATCGACAGTAGGACGTGCAATAAAAACGGAAAAATCGAGGTTATCAGCATCGTACATCGCAATTCAGCTGCTCTTGATAATCATTCATAAAACATCTAATTTGCGTTTGTGTTGGTGAGATGGCATATGTATGCATGTATGTGTGTATGGTAGGCGGCAGCGACAGAGAAAAGTACACCGAATTCGAATTCCATTCATGAAAAAACCCACACATCGCTCAATGTGCACATGTATGTGTATGTATGCGTGTGCTTCTCTGTAAGTGTGTTGGCACATGCGCTGTAGCTGAAGCGTCGTCACTCACACACAAACACAAGCGAAATTCATTCACAAAAAGGGGCAACTGCATGCGGCAGCGGGGGCGATGCCGTAACATTCAGCCAGGCAACACAACGGCAACGGTGTCGGCTGGTCGACAAAACAGCCAGCGGAACTAGCTTCGTGTTGGCTTTGCCAGCAGCAACAACAACAATGTTAAATGTTGGTTTGTTTCTTGCTGCATCGAAAACACACGCGCGACTGTCGCAAGAGCGAGATGGCACGATGCGGCTACAGCAAGCGCGAAAACAGCACCGCACGCTGTTGCCTCACACTCATACACAATAATGCATTTTCAGCCAAAAAGTAGCATTTATTACTGTATTTTGTTAATGTTAAACGTCGTTTTATCGCATTTTGCTAATTTCTATAATCACTAGATTATTATTTTGTTCGCTGCACGCTTTTCTTTCAAAAACGTTTTGATTTGATTTCTGTTTCACGTTTGCTTGGGCGCCTCTTGGCGACGCGCTCGCATTCCAATACACTTTTCACATAGAAAAACTAACGTTCGCGTAGAAATTATTGTTAGTTGGTGCGCAGACGGGTTTCATTTAGTAGTTGGTTTTGTGTTTTCATTGATTTGCACAGGTTTACATACCAATTTTCACTTTTAATTGCTCTTCAATTCGGACTTCGCGTGTTTCAGCCATGTTGGATCCATAACTACTGCTGCTGTTGTTGTTCGCGTTGGTGTTTCTGTTGTTGCTTGCCTCGACAACAGCAACGATGTCAATAGCGTCGTCCTGCTCTTCACACATATATCGCTTCTTTTTTAACAGCATTATGTTGGTGTTGGTTCACAGTGTTGCATTTAGATAAGAATTGTAAATGAAATTAACTCGATTTCGTTCTACCGCAACCGACAAAATACAACGTATGCGTTTTGTATGAGATTTTTTATGCTGATTTTTGTATATAAATGCTTTTAACATCACTTTATTGTTGATTTAAGCACTTTTTATGTATTAAATACTTGCATACCGACACATCACTTGTAAGTTTCTATTCAATATTGTATTAAGCCGACAACAACTACAAGTAGATGTTCAAAATGCAATGAGCTAAATAATATTCCGATTACGACTTGTGGAAGAGAGTAGTAAAATGCAACAAAATTACTCCCGCGCGCAGCGACGCACGACCGTCCGCAACGAGAAATGAAACGATAATGAGAGACGACGAATGGCAGGCACACGAAAGAAGAAGAGCAAGACGATTCAACAAGAGAGCAGAGAGAGAGAGAATGCTCACAGCATAGTATGCTGTTAATACAATTGACTCAGCATTGTTACCTTGCCATGTACCGAATTATTTTAATTTAAGGGTTATTGTAGATGGGTCATTAATAATCCGTGCCTTTAAAAAGAGTGACTGTTTTTGCTTTTCAAAAAGAAAATTGGAATTTGTTGCTAAGATTTTCAACCACATATGCAGAGAAGCATGAGCAAAATAATCGAACACGTTTACCAACACTGGATGTACAGTATTTATCGAACAGCTGAATAATGGCGCAAAACGCTTAAATCAAACAAAAATAAACGGCTTATTTGTGGTAAAAATATAAAAATATCGTAAAAGGCATGAAATATGTGTGTTATGCTATATACATATATTATTTAGCTAGACCGATTGTGCAACCACCTCAAAGATTTTTTACATACTTCATACCAGCTAAACATTTTATGAATGAAATTGAAGCTGATCAACAGGGGATGCGCCGGCAAACACGCATACAACATTTACACACATAAGCACACACACACAAACTGGGACTGGTGCACACATGTTGCTTTAGCGCCAAGCGGAAGCAAAGTGAGTTCCGGGAAAGTTTCGGGCGTTTTTGTTGTACCGAGTGCGCTACAGGCGGTGAGCTACTTAAAAACTGTGAATTTGTATGAATTATGTATATATGTATGTAAGTAGTGAAACATTCAAACATTTATGTTTTAAATTCCATTTGCATACATATTAATGTATAAGAAACACTTTTAGTGCCGTCATCAGAGGTTACATGAGAATCTCTTTTAGCCACATTTTCACAAGATTATTTCTGACATGTCCATATACCGTATGTTTCTACAAGTAGGGTATTTTTTTTAGGTGGGCGTTACGGTTCAGGGGCCAAGAGACCGGCAATCTACATACGTCCAAATGCACAAACGACGTCGCAGTGAAATTTAAATTTACACGCATTCATTCATGTTTTTTTTTTTGTTTGCCTGCATTGGCTGCTGCTCTTCGAAGTTCGAAACACAAACACACACACATACACATAACAGCTACAATAGCAACAACTAAAACAACAACAGTGGCGTCTTATCAGCAACCGCACACATTCACATTAGGCGTTGCCGGCGCCGCCAATAAGTGGAAGTGCACAAGTGGTTGTTGCATCGCATTCGTCTGCATTGTTGTTGCTGCTATTTCCGTATGTGTCGTGCATACGTTTTTTCTTTCTCGGCACCTTTGACTAACCTAAAGTGAAAAGTATATATGTATGTATATAACTTATGCAATTAATAAGGCTGAAAACTGAACAAAAGTTCTTGGTGGTTCGGTTCATGTTCAAGGTTCGGTTCGTTAAACTGGTTCTTCCAGGTGTGGTTTATGTTAAATAAAATATCGAAATTCCGGCTTAACGTTTTTTTGATTTAAATTCGATTTGCAGCCTATATAATTGCAGAATTAGTGAAGTTAGCATATATAAAAAATGATGAATGGATTTTTACATTGCACCTTACCAAATTTTCGATTGCTCTTCTACTAGTATTCTATCCTACAGCAGATTGAAAACTCAGCTGAAAGTGTGTAAAATTTAAAGGTAGGGTATTTCCAAGTCGTGTACTTTTGTTGCTTGTGCTAGTTGCGTGCGTCCGAATGTCATTTGCATTTTCATCATTTCGCTTAACGAAACGTAACCAACGTGGGAAGTCGGACCGTCTGCTCGTCAAGTGATCTGGCTCCAGCTGTCCACTTGCCCACGTCTGCCTTCTCCCTCCATCCGTCCAAGGTGCATTCGTCTGCATCTGTGATAAAAATAGAGTTATGTGGTAGTTTTTTTTTGTTATTGTAGCCGCATTTATTTTCGGGTTTCTTTTTATACCCTGTACTCATGGGCTATGAGTACAATGGTTTTGTGAAAAGGCATGTAACAGCCAGAAAGAGGCTTCTGCGATATATATCGATCATCGGATCAGGAAGTTTGAGCAAATTTTGGATATTTAAAGAGCCAAAGAGACGGCATAAGCGATCTTGAATAGTTTACTCAACCAGAAGAAAGTTGGAGTTCTTTTGAGGTCAGCTCTTAGCTGGGTCCAGGGTATCTAACCATCGAGCACTCCAACGTTTCTTTATATTTAATATATTTCTCTTTTGTCGATTTAAGTGTTGCTGTTTTTGGTCATTTGTTTGGCTTCCGGTAATTTGTTAAAAAATGCCATTTTCCCGGCTTTGACTTGTTTAATTTATCACATTTATTTCGGTAACTTTTATTTAATTACAATATGGTGCATACATCAATTTTTGGTTATATCGTTTGTTCGCCGTGGGCTGCAAACTATTTTAAATTGTTTTTTTTTTTTTGTTTGTTCAATTTTGTGCTTTGGATCGCTTATCTATAAATTTATTGGCGTATTACACATAAAATCACTAAAAATGTGGATTTTTTAAAGATATATTTTAAATTGATGTATTTACAAACTTTGATCTAATGAAATAAGGTGAAGATATTTGTACAGCAATTTCAAAATTTGTTCAGTATGGACTTATCATTGTTGAAAATGTTTTCGAATAAGCTATAGGAATTAAGATAAATTGAAATTTATTTAATTAATGCACATCTTAATCAAAACTACCATAAAATGAATAAGTTATTGGCAAACTGTTATTGTAATAGATCATATTTTTGGAAAACTGTGGAGTTACCTACGCATTATTCGAAAAGATCGTTGATTCTGGAACTCTACATTTCTTTTGCTTAGTTGAAAAATGATGGTATCTCATTATGTATATATATTTTCCTTTTGTATATATATATATGCTTATGAAACGACTAGAACTGTGCTGAGATGATGCAATACAATTATCGAATACCTACATATAATACAAAAATGGATTTCTGCCGACTTTTCTAGACAACAAATCAATGAATGTTTGATCTATTAGGAATCCAGTTCCTTTAGCTAGGGTATTCATTTGAAGCACTGCTAAAATCCTTCTAAAAATAAATTCTACAATTATTTTTGGCAACTGACTTGTCCCATGCACGCGAACATGGACGATCCATAAGCCGAGGGCCGACAGGTGTGTTGCCCAGGGACTTAGACCCAATTGGTGCGCGTGGTAGGCTATAAAGCATCGTTGTGACTCTTGGATATGGTTGTCTCGATCTGATCGATGCGCCGAAACGAGGGCATGTACGTGGAGCTGGCTTGTGTGACAATCGAATTGTTGGAGGAACTCTGCAGGGATAGAGATATCTATTGGTGAGATGGAGCATAACCGATGCTTCGCACATTTACCTTCTTCTGGCGATAGGAACGTGCCCGCACGCGTGTTGTATTCCGCCGCACGGGATTGACCGTGGTCGACTTCTGCGAGAGACGCACGGAGCTGAAGGTGCTTCCCCGGTGTCCACGGCGAATTTGCGGCGAGGGCGTGCCGGTGGCTGCAAGGAGGTAGATAAAGTTGAAAGTAGATAAAAGCATATTGCGATATCAATCAGCTGGAGGTGCTCACGTGTGCCTGGTATCGCGGTGCTCCGCTTGGTGGCCTGCATCATGCCAAAGACGACGGCACTGAAGGAGCCGTGGTGGGAGGTCTGGCGCTGTAGATTGGGCGTCTGGGCGAGTGGTATGCCCGCCGGCTGACGCACTGGTGAGATTAGCTGGCTGTCGGAAATGCCCTTTGGATGCACATAAAAGGTGGTCATCATGCCCTTGCCCTTCACATTGACCTCGCCACGTTTCTGCATAACGAAAGAGCTTAAGACTCTGCCTCTCTATTCGATTGAAGCCTTTAGAGCTTACCACACACGTATAGCCGCGTGAGCAGAGCAACTCCGCCGTATTGTCCGGCACTTGGACCCGCCAGTTCTCGCCGGTGGAGTCCATGCGCGAGGCCACGTTCACCGTGTTGCCCCATATATCGTAGACAGGCTTGCGAGCGCCAATCACGCCGCTGACAAGAGGTCCACTGCAGATGCCGACGCGCAGCTGGAAGTTGTTGAACGCATCCCCGTTGATCTCCTCCAGCTTTTTCTTCATTGCAAATGCAAACTCCACCAGGTCACAGACGCTATCCTCAGACGTCTCGCCGCGGACGCGCAAATGCTCGTGATTGAGTCCAGCGGCAGCCATATAGGTGGCACCCACAGTTTTTATTTTCTCAACGGATGCAAAGCGCGGCTCCTCCAGCAATTCATCAAAGTCGCCTGGGGGCAGACAGCAAGCATCATTAGCCATGCGGCTCGAAGTGAGACTATTAAATCAATCAACTTACAGATAATCTCATTTAGGATGCGAATACACGCCTTGCCATTGTCAATGTCCTCCGAGTAAAAGTCCTGGAAGTTGGGTATCGAGGCGAACATAACGCCGCACAGATTGTGCATTTTGGAATAGAGCTCGTCCGTGTGCTCGTCCGATAGATAATAGGCGGCCACGTGGTCCGGCAGAATGTTCTGTGAGGCATTCCAAATCAGGCGTTTAATTAATGAGCAATCATGCGAGTGGGTAAGGGAGGGGCTTAGGTAAATGGGACTGTACCTTAATTAATGTGTCATTAAGCGCCCGATTCGATTTCATGTTGGTTAGTTCTCGCTCCGCTTGCTCCTTCCAAATGAAATCCAGCCGCGAGGTGACCTGCGTACGACCAAAGGCATTAGAGGGAGCTGCTTCGATCTGATGGGAACGACAAGGGCTTACCTCCACCAGTCTAGCATGGTAGCAGACCATGATTAGGAAGGTGATGAGCAGTATCAGCATTTGGACGCCCAGGGGCATGCCGTTCTTCCTCAGGTTGACCAGGCTGAAGCTCTCTTCGGTGCTGAACCGGATGAAGATTAGCGTGGTGTAGAATGCGACCATGCCCAGGGCCATGATGGCCTTAATCAGGTAGTAGAGCTTCAGGGCTGTGGCCAAGGAGACGAGGCACAGCACCCAGGTG